GTGCATCCTGGGATGCTTTATAAACAAAGCAGACTTTATGTATGCTGGACACTTACTGGCTGCTTTTTCTTTATGATCCATTCCAAACCATCCATTATAAACTGTATCATTTTAAAAACTCTTGTAAAGAGATTCAAGAATTGTCATTTGATATTTAAAGAATTTACCAAAACGCTCTACTGGTAGCACTGAGAGTTTCTAGAGAAAACCGATTTTGTGTACTCACCAGCGCTGATGTTGCGTGTGCTGGATCTCAGCTTGCTGTGCCTCTTGCATTTGTGATGTTGACAGCAGTTCAGCCCCTGACATCCAACACTTGCCAAACACACATTGGAACACACATGCACAAAACAAACAGCGCTTCCCGCCAACACAAACCATTAATTCAAACACATACCAGTACATGCGTGTTTAAACACGGGGTCACGGAAAGTCGATAATGCACCAAAAAGGACAATTTAACATTGTCCTGTCCAGCTTTTAAGATCAACTTCAAAGCTGGCGTAAAAAGTTAAGAACCGATATTTAATGGTTTGCATGACTTGAACAGGTCCAAACACATTCAGAGAGGGACGTGATGGGAATGAGGAGCTGTTTAAGTGAAATAATGACTGACTTCTGGAAGTTCACTATGTGAATGAGTGGGTTCATTAGAACATTCCCAGCAGCCCAGTGTTTATAAACAGCCCTAGTTCATCTAACTGATGGATGAGCGCACGCTATCTCTCCGTTCTTCCTGCCGCTCCTCAGAGAACATCCTTGCTCAGCCAGGGTTTCACAACCACTCCGACACACTCCCACGTGTCACTACACAATTCAGCTGCAGGCATGCAACTCAAGACCCCCTTATCGGTCTCTCTCTCTCCCTCACGCACACACACACACAGAGACCCCAGCCCTTCTTCTGCTTCATGGGTGGGCCCCTCATGTCCTTCGCTGGGGGCAGAGGGGACATTCTGAGGGTTGCAGATCCCGCCCTGATGCTCTTAACTCACAGGATGCTATTGACAGCGACTGTTATAATGAGGAAAAACAACATAGATTTGTTTTTCCAGGAACAACAGGGCTGCTGATATGAACCACGGGGTAGACAATGTTCTTCCTGAAACAAAAAAGGTTTCCAAGAAATTCAAATAGGTGCCGTTTTGGAGCCTATACTGAGCTGAATACATACAGTAGGCAGTATTATAAGGTAACAGTAGCACAAAAGCAACGCAAAAGTTATTCCGAAAGGTAGGCAGGACAATTACAAAGCCTTCTAAGAAAACGCTTATTTTGGCCAAATTCAAAGGCAGCATTGCAAATATCTTTAAAAAGGAAATTCAATAATGCACTGCAAGTTCTTTGAATTTTTTTTTTTAAAAACATCTAAGTTGGCAGACAAATTTTGCACATTTGGCCGCTGTATATTTCTATATAAAGGAACACTATTGATATGACACAGAATTGCTCCCTATGGAGATCAATGTTCTTTTATTGTTAAAGGGACAGTTCAAGAAAATTCTGTAATTAATTACTCACCCTCAAGTCGTTCCAAAACTGTAAAATCTTCAGAATACAAATTAAGATATTTTTGATGAAATCCGAGAGCTTTCTGACCCTCCATAGACAGCAACGGTATTGCGATACTCTTATGAACGCATGGCAGAGACTGACATGAAGAGAAGAATTGTTAAATAAAGTCATTATTTGTGGGGGGGTTTCGCACAAAAAGTATTCTCATAGCTTCAGAAAATTACGCTTGAACCACTGATGTCACATGAACTATGTTAACGATGTCCTTACTACCTTTCTGGGCCTTGAATGTGTCAGTTGTGTTGCTGTCTATTCAGGGTCAGAAAACTCTTGGATTTCATAAAAAATATCTTGTCTTCCGAACATGAACGAAGGTCTTACAGGTTTGGAACGACATGAGGGTGAGTAATTAATGACAGAATTTTCATTCTTGGGTGAACTATCCCTTTAACTAAAACTATTAAAATATTTTTATTAACTGAAGGAAAAAATATAAATTATTAGAAAGTTTAAACTTAAAAATATGAACTGACAACTAACTGAAATAAGTCGAAGTACTAAAGTTACTATAAAATTACAGCTAAATAGAAATGTTAAGAAAATGACAAAAGCATATAAAATTACCAAAATACTTTTTTTTTTCCAAAAGTGAAAATTAAAAATAAGAGCATTCAATATATTAATAAATACTAAAACAGTATATAAATACTACTGATGGAGATCCATTTCATTTAGGCAGCAAAGGCAACCCATTAGGTTCTAAAACAGAACCTAATTTTATAACAAACGCCTTTAAAAGCTGTGCTGAGAACAAAAGTAAAAATGTCTTTAAACCTTTGGAAAGGAAATTGTTGCATTAACATAAAATCAGAATTTACCCTACAATAGCTAATAATAGGATTGGAAAATAAGCATTACCATTGAGATGCCTGAAGATGCTCCAGCAGATAAACTTGACCTTCGGCCTCCAAGTTGAAAAACCTCCTCATATGTGGATACTGGCAATATGGCAATCCAAAGCAAACTCAAATTCACCTCTCGCGGTTCCATTATTTAGTGGCCGCTTTTCAAGATCCTATCAATTCCTGATAGATAAATCGGTTTCATAATGAATTTTCTTTTCATTCACGACATTACAGAAGCAAAATGAGTGGCAAGAGCCATTTAACGTTGATGATTTGTTTTGAAAAATAAATATGAAGGAGATTTAGACAAATTGATTGTCCACACCAAAAAAAAAGAAACAGTTCAAGCATGTTTGGCCTCAGGAACTGCGTCATTACGTCACGTCTGTAAACATAAAGAAGTCGTCCCGGCTACTAGGCTTTA